CTCCTCCGCCTCCTGGGCTTTGGGGAGGGGGGGAAATCGGGCTTCGAAGAGGCCGACGAATCCTCCGCCTCCGCCTCCTCTTCCTCTTCCTCCTCTTCCTTTTCGTTTTCTTGGGCGAGTTGGTAGTAGCCGTCGCAGAGCGTGTGAATCGCGGTCGCGCTCGTGTCGACGTAGCTCGGGCTGGCCAGCAGCGCCACGAGTTGTTTAAACACCTCGCGAAAGGAGTCCTCGCTGAGGTGGGCGGGGAAGTGGCAAAACCCGGCGGCGAGGCGCCAGTATTGATGGAGCAGCGCCGCCCAACGCGCGCGGTCGGCCGGGCGTTGGGCCTGCTCCGCCTCCCGCGCGGCCCGGCTGGCGAACTGAATGATCGGGAAGATCCGCGCGACCAAATACCCCAGCGAGTCGTGCGAGGCCGCGCGGCGGAGGACGTTTAAGGTGTAGCTGGTGGACCAGCGCTCGGCCGCCAGGGCGGGCTCGCCGCCGCGCGCGGCGGCGTCGGCCTCGCGAGGGTCAAACGGGAGAATTTCGGCGAATTCCTCCACCCACATCCCCCGCGCGATGGCGACCATGGCGCGCTCGAGCCGGGCGTTGAGCTGGACGTCGTCCATGGCCCGCAGTTTGTGCAGCACCCGAAGCAGAAACCTCACGGAGGGAAAGCGCTCGGTGAAGCGGCGCGCCCCGGGGCGGCGCTTGAGATAGTTCAGGCGGTTGAAAAGAGTCTCCAGAAGCTCGGCCGCGAGCCCCCAATATTGCTGATAAACCGGCTTAAACAGCTCGAGCAGCTCGTGGGAGAGGAGGCCGTCCAGCACCCGGGCGCCCTCGGCGGACTCCACGATGTAGGGCGAGAGGCTGCGGCGGAACAACATCGACAGCTCCGCGATCGTCGAGGTCGCGCGGGCGGCGGGGGCGTCCGCGAGGATCCCCACCGCGCGGCGCACGAAGTCCGGCAGGATTAGCAGGAAAAAGCGCTGGTTCGCGCTCAGGGCGTAGGCCGCGGCCTCGGGGTCCCACCTCGGGCGGCCATGCCGCAGCGCGGACCGCTCGAGCAGCTTGCGGAAGGTCACGCCGACCATGCGGCTGGCCTCGCCCTGCCAGGGCCCGGGCTGGAGGGCCTGGAAACGGCGGAAAACCCCTTCCGCAGGCTCCTCCAAGGCCAACAAATAGGCCTGGATGGCCTTGAGGACTTTGGCCCCGATCAGCGCGTCCGCCGCGGCGTACTCGGCGAGCAGGGGCTCGGCCATGTCGAAGAAGGCCCCGGCGTGGTGGCGTAAAAGGCCCTGCGAGAGATGCGGCAGGCAGCCGGCGAGGATGGCGAGGAGGTAGGGCAGGTGGGAGCGCTCCGCGGACTGCCCGAGGGCGGTGAAGGCGGCCATAAAAAGCGACAACGGCGTGAGGGCCTCGCCGAGGCCGTCGATCGCGGCGCCCAGGCCCTGCTGAACCGCCCGAAGGAGCTGCGGGTCAAACGCGCGGTGCCGCTTTTGGTTGCGCCGGCGCTGAATCGCGTCGATCTGGGCCTTCTTGGCCGCCTGCGCGGCCGCCTCGGCGGCTCGCGCCGTGTGGGCGGCCGCCCGGCGCTTGGCCTCCAGGATCTGCTTGCGGCTCAGGTTCGCGCCTTTGGGGCGGGGGCGCCGCGCGGGGGCCCGACGCCCACGGGTTGGTTTTAACGGTGCCATTTTTTTTTTCCCCCCACTTCGCGGTGGATCGGTCGGGAAGACACTAAACTTACACTACAATAACAGAGAGAAACAAACACTCTACAGGGTGCGACGCAAAGACAAAAAGAGGTCGAAAGGAAGGTTGACTGACATAGAATCGTAGTAACCCGATGGCATCAATACAGGGGTTAGCGTTTTTTTTGTTTTTTGTTTTTCATTTATTGGCAAAGAAAGCCCCCATGCAGAAAATCCTTTAGTCCACGCATTTGTCGACTTTCTTTTTCAATCGGTTGGGCACCCCTTTTTCCCCCTTCGTTTAGCGGACCCCAATTGAGCCACGCCGAGGTTTATCCACGACGGCGTGCAGCGATACCCCTCAGAACCATTCAACACGAAACAGGAAATCGACCCAGAGCGTCTTGCGAGAAGGAAGCGGCCCGGTATGAAAAAAGAAAAAAACATTTTCGACGCTCGGCGTATTACATTTTGGCCACGGCAAGTTCATTAGTGACGTCAGGCGGGCGATTGATGGCGGGGTCGATCAGAACGATCGCATCCGACGTCCGAATCAGGCGTTGGACGAGGTATTCCACATAGGGAAGGAGACCCTCGCCCTCGTAGGAGACCAAAGGGGAGATCTCCACCCAGCGCGTCCCCTCGCGGAGGATCGCCAGGGCCCGGTCGCGATCCCGCGCGGGGATCGCCCCCGGGGCGGCGGGATCGGCCCCGGCGAGGGCGGCCACCGCCCAGCGCGTGTGGAGCTCGAGCAAAAGCCGCGCGGCGGTTGCCGGGCTGTCGACGGCGCCGGGCGCCGTCGCCGCGTTTTTAATCGGCGCGAACTCCGTCGCCCGGTCGACCTGCATCATGCGAAAGCCGTCCTCGTCGGGCCCTGTTTTGCA